TGTACCCTGGTCGGAGCTGCTCTTCTGTCTGTGTCAGTCACGAGTTCAGGTGAATGATTGAGCTGCCGACACAGGACACCTGTCCTCAGGTGTGCTGACGCCAGCAGCAGTTCCAGGTTACTCATTGAAAATAGAATAACCTTGTGATCAGTCGACCTGAGAGCTGATTGGAGGTTCAGGCTGTGACCTCTGACCCCCAGTGTTGGCCAAGTTACTTTGAAAAAAATTATAGTTACTAGTTACTACTTCAAAAAGGTAACTGAGTTACAAGATTCTAAAAGTAATTAATTACTTGAAAAGTAACTATTGCGTTACTTAAAAAAATTGTAACCTTTACCTGGGGTCCAGGGTATAATTGGCCATTTTTAACTACTTTTGATGTTTCCTCACATTTCACCTTTAAAAACATTTACTTTGCCTTGTTTGGTATCATCCTTTTCAGCACAACCTCACGTGTCTGAATTTACAGTTATGTTTTCATTTTGACATACTGTATTAACACAATTGATCTAAAATCAGACAAAAAACATAAAATCCGAGTAGAAAAAGTTATATTTTTACTGTAACAACCACAAACATGTTTAATGAATCATATTTCATAACTTTAAATGCAAATATAAATTGTCAATTTTAAAATTATGCACAAGTTTTGCAAACAACAAAGTTATTTGCAGCCATTTACCTTTTTTTTTTATAACCATTTCAAACTATTTTACAGAACAATCAGTTGTTCTGCATTCAATAAGATGCCACACAAATTATTTGTGACTTACATTACAATGTGACTGCTGTGATTAAAGCATCTTTCTTTCAGCTTAACGAGTGAACCGTCAGCTCGTTCAAACACACGTTAAAGTCCGTTTGGCTCGACACCACCGAACAATTAACAGCATAAATAAGTGCATTAATATTCAGTACTTATTTTTAAAAGTTTGCTCTTCGGCCGCTCTGCTTCAGCCATCTGCCGTTTTTTTCCGAACAAAATGTCCACACCCACCGCCGCGCTATGAATTGTGGGATATATGGTACCCCGAAGTGTACACCGGGCCACACTTCTAATTTGGGCAAATGAAGGGTGCATTTGTCGACCGCATTTGGAGTACACTTTGTATTGGGACACTCTTCGTCGCATCGCTGTGACGTAATCGTTCTCCACATGCACACTACAAAGCGTGCGGTCGCTGGATTGGGACACAGTCTGTGACTGATGAACTCTCTGTCTCACTACAGTGTAATGTAAGGCCATGCTTGCTCGCCCGCCATGACCACTGTCACGCTGCGGTACTTCTGTTATGGCTGCCTCGTCACCTCGGCCACCTGGTCCTTCCTGCTCTTCCTGTATTTTTCCATGGGGGCGGAGCCTGACCGTGGCAGGACTCCCATGAGGCACCTCGGGCAGCCAATCGCTGGAGGTGTGGCCGATCGTAGAGGGGGGCGTCGGCCTCTGCTGCCAAGTAATGGAGTGGAGCTTTCACCAGAGATGGGTGAGTGCCCGTGGTGCGTTCAGGTACTGCTGGGAGAGCGGCAGTGATGGGTGGAGTAAGGGGTGGGGCCTGAGAGCGTGTCAGTGATGACCTGTTTTCAGAGTCTTTGTAAACCAGAGGTCTGTCAGACTAAATGAATGATAACTGGCAAATGGGGGCAGGGCCAAGTCTCTGATGTCACGATAACACTAGTGTGTTCAAGGTCTAATTTATTTGTTCACATCATAGTATACAGTATGAAACACAGTGGAAATGTAGCCTGAACAACGCTCATCAATGTGCAAAAATTGGCGGGAGGAACATATAGCTAATAATATAATATATATATTATCATATATATATTATATATATAATATATATATAACTATATATTATATAGATATATATATATATATATATATAGATATAGAGATAGAGATATAGTAGATAGTATATATATGTATGATAATACGATATAAAGATAGATAAATTATAGATATATATAGTAGGGGTGCAACGATACACAAAATTCACGGTTCGGTTCGGTTCGATACTTTGGTGTCACGGTTCGATATTTTTTCGATACTAAAAATGTTCATGCATTTTTAATTTGTCATTTATTAAAATTATAAATATATATTTTAACTCAAAAGTACAGTTTTTAAATTTAACCCTAACCCTTGTGCGTGTTTTTTATTTTGACAGCGAATGCGCACCTGCGGACCACTTATGTGCAGCCCTGGTTATTTAGCTCGATCATATTGCAGCCACAGAAATTCTTTTGTCCATGAAACCATAAAGCTGCACTTTCTTTTTGCCTTATAGTCTGATTTGTCATAACTTCTCCGTTTTGTGGTAAGCTTTTCTTTGGCTGTCACTTCTTCACCCTGACCTGTCTTATTTGGCTCAGCAGAACTGAAATGCTTTTACACACTCACTCACATAAGCTCAGCGATTCTCTGCGCGATCAACCTCTCACATGTTTAAGCTGCGGGAGATTTCACTTGTCATGTTTGCATAGTAAGCTAACGATTAATAAGACGATGTCAGAGGAATTGGTGCACAAATTATCATCACTCACAGATCAGTGCTGTCGCTCTCTATACACAGTTCGCACGATTGCAAAGTGAAAGCAAAAAAACAAGCGCAAATTCAAACGCGATTTCAATATGTCACATATTGACAGTGGCTCACCGATGCCAATGACATAATTACCCAGCTACATTTCTGAAAGAATGCAAAAGCATTGACATATATTTTTCCTACAATAGCCCGACGGGCAGGGAAGAGATAGATTTTGGTAGCCCGACTGAAAAAATCGCTAGCCCGGGACGTCGGGCTAGCGATATTGCAAGCCCTGTATCTGATTGAGGAATCACTCATCTTTGGAAAAGAGAGTTTATTACAGAGAAATGTCTCTTTCCAAAATAAAAGCTATACTATCCGCTTCTTCTGGGCTATATTCTCAGCAGCATAAGGAGAATCATGTGCTAACAGCTGTCTAAATGACTCGGCTAAAGTTAGTAGCATGCTTGTTGTTTTTGTCTTTGCACTAGGATGATGTCGGCGTAAATGTGCAGTCATATTCGTTGTGTTCCCACTAGTGCTTTCAGGTTAATCTCGTTGAAATGACCTTAACGCCACAACACGGCAAATCTCCGTTAACGAGCTACCGCCGATCGCTCCGTGCATGGGGCTAGACGGCCAACACGTTAACGAGCTAACTGCGCTAACACACTAGTTCACACCAATGTAATTGAGCATTGCGTGGCACATCCAACATACTGTTTTACTTTAGTCCATGACTCGCTTACCTTCAGGGTCATACGTCACATGAAAACCAAAATAATTCCAAACGCCAGATCTGAATGAGGTTCAATTTGCCTGTTGCAAGGAGAGCTTAACTTCTGTCTCGCTAGCTTGCCCTGCGCTCTTCCTTCTGACTATGCTGTCTGTGTGGAGCGCTCAGTGGATCTGCGCTCGACAGTGCAGCCTAGGCGGAGTAGTCGAACACAGATTCACTGAGCGCTCAACACAGACAGCATCGTCAGAAGGAAAGTTGATAAAATAAATTACAAATGTTGTATTGTTCGATACATATGCGTACCGAACCGAAAGCACTGTATCGAACGGTTCAATATCGATACGAATATCGTTGCACCCCTAATATGATATATATATATATATATATATATATATAGTATACTATATATAGATAGATATATAGATATAGATATATATATATATATATATAGATATATATAGATAGTATATATAGATAGATAGATATATATAGATATAGATAGATAGATATAGATATATAGATAGATATATATATAGATATAGATATAGATATAGATATAGATATATATAGAGATATAGATATATAGATAGATATATATATAGAGATATATATATAGATAGAGATAGAGATAGAGATATATATATAGATAGAGAGATAGAGAGATATATATAGAGATATATATATATATATAGAGAGATATAGATATAGAGATATAGATATAGATATAGATATATAGATATAGATATGTATAGATATATAGATATACACACACACACACACACACACATACATTAGGTGAATGTGCAGCAGTAGCAGCAAGCAGGTGAATTCTGTACATTGAGTTAAATAAGAATAGACGATCTGACTATTTTACAGAATAGACAATATAAACATATTTAAAATTAAAGGAATTAAATTAAAGGTGTGTGTGTGTGTGTGTTTGTGTGTGAGAGAGAGAGAGATGATGTGATGTGTCAGCCTCTGTGTCCGTCTGCAGGGATGATCTTCAACGAGGCGGATCAAGAGGTTCGGGACAGCGGCTACCACCGTCACGCCTTCAACGTCCTCATCTCCAACAGGCTGGGCTTCCACCGCCAGTTGCCCGACACCAGAGACACCCAGTAAGAAGCTGATACTGGGCACACTGGGGCCTTTGTGTCTCTGTCTTCCAGTAAATCTGAGTTAACTTTGTGTTTTCTGTAGAGTGAGCTCGTTCAGGTGTAACGACCATAAAAACGTGAAGCGCCCCGTAGCAGCGTGCAGGTGTCGGCGGTGACCCGGCGGTTGTTCTGAGGTCACTGTCCGGATCACCTGAAGCCGACTGTAGTCACGTGTACCTGCAACTCGCTGTGGCGTCGTGCGATGTGTAGGCGAGCCCTGTTGTTTACCCATGATGCCTCTCTCTCAGGTGTCGGGAGAAGTCCTATCCTGTGGCTCTACCTTCTGCCAGCGTCGTAATCTGTTTCTTCAACGAGGCGCTCTCCGCCCTGCTCAGGACTGTGCACAGCGTGCTGGACCGCACGCCGCCCTACCTGCTGCACGAGATCATCCTGGTGGACGACCACAGCGAGCTGGGTAATCGCGAACCAGTTGGTGCAATTCGATTGGTGCGGGGCTTGGCCCGTGGCTCATGGCGGATTTTTGTTTGTGTGCAGAGGAGCTGAAGGACGAGCTGGACCGCTACGTCAGGGCGGAGTTTCAGGGAAAAGTCCATCTAGTGAGGAACCAGAGGAGGGAAGGACTCATCAGAGGACGCATGATTGGAGCCTCACACGCTACAGGTGCCTCCTCGTCACCTGCTTTCCTTGCTCTGTTCTTGTTTCCTGGAGGACGAAGAACCCTCCTTTACCTCGTTAGGCCTCTCTCTCTTCCTCCAATAACCGTATGAAAGCCAGAGTCTGGTGTTGTATGCGCACAGGTCTGTGCACAAGTCTCGAGCCTTCCCTCATATTTTTAAATGAGAAAAATGTGCAGCGATTTATTGAATCGTGTAAACGTGCGTGTAAATCAGTCAGAATCAACGTCTGCACATACACGTGTAAAACCAGTGTTTGGGGGAGGAGCGTCATCCTTCTGAGCAGCTCTGTGTCATCTCTGGACCCTCAGGAATAGTTCGCCGAGCTTCCTGAAGGATGCTCCGGAACAAGGAAAAGCAGCCAAAGATGAGAAAGAGCTCCAGAAAGCCAGAGATCTGTTGCTCAAGAGCACTTCAAAAATACAGGAAAACTATAAGGAAATGACAGGCGGCTCAAGACTTTTGCACAGCTCTGTAACCATGTGGACAGAAGTATTTGGTCTCACCTATTAAGCTTTGAATTCAGTGTTCAGTGTTTTTAGGAGCCTTCACAAGCCTCTGAGGGGGCGGGGCCTTCTGATCAGGTTAGGTCAGATCGCAGTCTGATTCACCTGTGTGCGCGTCCAGGTGAGGTGCTCGTGTTCCTGGACAGCCACTGCGAGGTGAACCAGGCATGGCTGCAGCCGCTGCTGGCGCCCATCCAGAAGGACCGCCGCACTGTCGTCTGCCCCGTCATCGACATCATCTCCGCCGACACGCTCGCCTACTCGCCCTCCCCCATCGTCAGGGGCGGCTTCAACTGGGGGCTGCACTTCAAGTGGGACCCCGTGCCCCCCTCCGAGCTCAGCGGGCCTGAGGGAGCTTCCGGACCCATCAGGTGATGTCTTAACAGCCTCGAGGTACAGTTTTGGTCTGACCTCTAACTCCTCCCCCCTTGCTCTGCTCCCCCTCAGGTCCCCCACCATGGCAGGCGGGCTGTTCGCTATGAACAGGAAGTACTTTAACGAGCTCGGCCAATACGACGCCGGCATGGACATCTGGGGGGGAGAGAACCTGGAAATCTCCTTCAGGGTGAGACTCTGTTTTACTGACGGTCAGTGAAGGGGTCATTAAAGGAGCAGTCACACATTTCTCTCAGTTAGCAGTTAGCTTAGCGCATAGAGAGGAAGTGGTGGGAAGAGGGGAGAGCAGCTGCTGCTACACCTTCTCGCTGTCTCGCTCAGATCTGGATGTGCGGTGGTCAGCTCTTCATCATCCCGTGCTCCAGGGTTGGCCATATCTTCAGGAAACGGCGGCCCTATGGCTCGCCGGGTGGCCATGACACCATGGCCCATAATTCCCTGCGGCTGGCGCACGTGTGGATGGATGAGTACAAGGTAAACACACACACAAACACGTGCGCACTCTCTGGATGCCGGCATGGTGGCCTCATTTCCTATGCCTCTCTCATCCAATCAGGAGCAGTATCTCTCTTTGCGTCCAGAGCTGCGCAACCGGAGTTACGGCGACATCGGCGAGCGCGTGGCGTTGAGGAAGCGGCTGCAGTGCCACTCGTTCAGCTGGTACCTGGACACAGTCTACCCTGAGATGCAGACCGCCGCCAATGGCAACAAGCAGCAGCCGCTGTTCATCAACAAGGGCCTGAAGCGGCCCAAAGTCCTGCAGCGAGGACGGGTACCTTAACTCACCACACGTTCATGTCTGCCCCTTGTCACATGAACTACCTTCATGTTTCCGTCCTCTGTGTCCGCCATCTTCCAGCTACGGAACCTCGCCATCGGACGCTGTCTGGTAGCCCAGGGCCGGGTCAGTCAGAAGGGCGGCGCTGTCGTTCTGCGACCGTGTGACCCCCAAGACCCCGAGCAGGTGAGCCGATCACATGACCACACGCAACATCGGTTTACCGAATCACCGCAGAGATTTGTGATTCCTGGTGGCGGCACGGGCAGAGCTAAAGTACACGTTTACACAAACGTAAAATATAGATGTAACCATGGTAACATCTTCACAGCAGACGTGACAGTAAAGGCTCGCAGTCATTGGCTAACAACCTATGATTGACGAGTCATTAGCCAATGAAAAGCCTCTGTGACTCCAATGATGTTTCAAAGCCCAGAGGTCAGCTGAAGGTTGTTTCTCACACACCTCTATCCAATCAGGCTTCGAGTCTTTGCTGGGCTCCGCCCCTGAAGATGCGGACTGTCCCGACCTGCACGTCACGGCTTCATAAACGAGTCAGCGACTTCGCTGACCGCACGTTTTTAATAAACACAATTGTTTATCACAATAAAAGCGTCTGTCTTCACCGTGACCTTTAACCTTTAACCCTTTATGTGTGCAGGACTGGGCGTACGACGAGGAGGGTCAGCTGATCCTGGCAGGTCTGCTGTGTCTGGACGTGTCAGAGGTCAGGACCTTTGACCCCCCGAGGCTGATGAAGTGTCACGGCTCGGGGGGGTCGCAGCAGTGGAGCCTGGGGGTGAGACACACAGTCCTCACAGTGTGGGTGGGGTTTACTGTCATCAGGAGGAGGAGTCAGTGTCACGTGTCCTTCTGTGTTTCCTGTAGAAGTCCAACCGGATCTACCAGGTCTCTGTCGGTCAGTGTCTTGCAGCTGTCTCCCAGCCAATAGGACAGAAAGGTTACGTCTCCATGGCGATATGCGATGGCTCGCAGACACAGCAGTGGCAGCTGGAGGCCTGAGGAGGACGCCGCGGTGCCGTGGACGGAATGATCTCCGATTCTCACCTGCTCATTTAATGTTTCGTGTTTTTCATTTTAAGTTTGATGTTTCAGTCGCAGAAGAACTTCGCCACGCCGGACGCCATGCCCAGGCACGCCTGGAACTTCTTCAAGGTCCTTTTAAGGACCTGGAAAGTCCTGGAGTCTGGCGTCTGATTTAATCTGATCAGTGATCTGATGTTTACTTGGTCTGCCTTCATCATGTGACCTCTGAGGCATCTCCGTCCTCAGAGAAGCACTGCAGGCTTTTCTGTAGGGTTTTTATCGTGTTCACACAGGAAGTGCTTCTAAAGCAGCAACAGCACTTCCCGTCCTCCTCAGGTCAAAGGTTGCTGTAAGTCCAAAAGTTTTGCTTCAGAGGGCCGTTAGCTGCAGAGAGCTGGAATAAAACCGAACACTCACTCACTGAAGGACTCGGAGCGTCGCCACTGCTCTCGTGTCTCCCCGTGGAACCCGCTGCTCATGCACCAGAACCATATCTGCAGTTATTTCTAATGAGGAGCTTCCTCAATGAAGTTGGTGCGAGCATGCACGTGAGATCAGTTCTGATGCCACTGATGATAGGAAGGAAGGCGGAGCTTACTTACCGTCAGGGTAATCCACAGTGGGCGTCACAGCCACTTTTCCTCGAGCCGGTTGTTCCCCCAGAACACGAAGTGCCGCTATGCTGTCACAGAGGCGCCTCGCTCGTTATCCTTCGTTAACCGTGAAGGTCAGAATGTTGTAAATGTGAGTTTGTAGAATAAAAAGTGAGGATGTGAACCTTTATTTTTAAATTTTGACTGTTTGAAATCTACAGCTACAGGAGATATATCCGTGAATGTGCAGATTAATATTTACACAAATATACTGAAATGTTACTGTTTGTTTGATTAAACCTGCCACTGCTCAACTGCGCCCTCTAGAGTCACACGCTCAGAGCTGCGTTTCAGTGACATCTAGTGGCCAAACGTGAGACAGCAGCAGGGTGTGATTGGTTAGTGTGAATGATGTAAACACAGTTCAGTGAAGACGGCCCGCTGGCTCAGCTCGTTCTGCAGTAGCTGGGAGGAGGCATGCACATAACATGGCCGATGGCGTAAACGCCGCGCTACACCCATCGTAGCAGCTGCAGTGTTGTCAATGGTGAGCTCGGGCTGCAAGGTCACCATTGACAACCAAACTGCTTTTGGCTCTTGACGGAGGCGGTCGCACTTTCTCCTTCTCCTTCTCCCTCTCCCTCTCACTTATCTTTCCTGCTTGGCTTCTCATGTCTTTTGTATAGTCTCGCTTATTCTCTAACCCTAAGAGAGTCTCCCAGACTTGTTCTCTAAAAACCTAAAGAATTATGGATTTGATCAACTGGTCCCTGAATGCAATTGACACCCTCGACGAGAAGCCTGGGTTCGGGAGAGCCCGTGACAAGACATTGAAGACACCTTTTTGGAACCATGATAACAGGGTTCTTGCTGATTGGCCCCGGCTTATTGAAGGATAAAGAAACCGGAAACGGCTGTTCAAATCCCCACAAGGCTGCCTGCTTTGTTGATTGGAAAGATGGAGCGAGCTGTGGCTTCTCAGAATGGGCTCATCAGGTGCAGCACGAATGACATCTTGGAGAAGTTTGGGCTGCTGTGAGTACTGAGACCGACTGACAACATCTGACAACATCTCGGAGAGGCTCACGGCTGTCGTGAACACTCATGCCCTATGAGCAAAATGGATAACATCTCGGCATGGATGGATAACATCGTGGAGAGGCTCACGGCTCCAGACTTGTGACCAGTGACGGACATTAGACAACTGTAAAATTTGAAGCAGTTGGTTCGCACTAACCAAAACAGCTACCATCTTCATTTCATGTGGCGCCAGTTGGATGCTCAAGGCAAAAGCTGACGGGAATAACAATTCTCCCTTAGATAACAAGACTGTGTTATGACTTTCTCCCTCCTCATTTAAGGCCACCCGCATCGATTGAAGACTGTTGACTTTTGCCTAATCGGGTGAAGGGACACTTTCTCTTGGTTGAACACATACGCATGTACACTGACACAGACCTACACTCACCCCCTCCAAACGCCTTCGAAGCTCATGTCTTCTATGTTGTGTGATGTGATGATTCATGTGCTGAGGTGTTTTTTTTTTGTTTGTTTTTTTCTGTTCTCAAACTGATCTCCCTGTTGGAGGTCAGTCTAGGGGAGTTATTTTTGTCTCCTTATCTTTCCTCATGTTGTGCATTTTCCATTGTTATACCTCTCTGACCTGTCTTCCCCATGTGATGTTTGTGTGATGTATGTATGGTCAGAAGGGTAAGATGGCGCTGGCAATGGTCGGCAGCCTTAACAACAAATTTCCCACGTGTGGGACTAATAAAGGTATCTTAAATGACTGTAAATGATCCTGAAAAAGTCTTGTGCTCATCTGGACGTCTTCAGTGGGACGCGTGTCGTCATCAGCTGACTCCGTCAGTCTCAGCTGACTGCAGCTCTCCGACCTTTAACCTTAAACACTGGCCCGTGTGTCGGTTTACAGTAAATGTGCCCATAGTCTATGAAGGCTAACCTCTGTGCGTCTGTGCCCAAAATAACCGTCGTGCAGCTCTAACAGTGCGAGTCATCAAAGGGAAACTCACGGAGAAGTCAAACTTAGCTGGAGGATTGTAGGGTCCTCGTCCCCCACAGTGATACACGGCGAGGGGACCGCCGCTGTGAAATGTTACAGGCGTCGTTTGAATCCGAGCAGCTCGCAGGAAAACATCCAAAGGTGGGGTTTACAAAAAAATATGAGCATCATAACTTTTAAGTTTCAGAACAGAAACCGTGCCATCCTCCTCTCCAAGGCTTTCATGTGTGATAATAATATGTTTTATTTGAGGATACCTTTCAGAAACCCATGGTCACCTTACAAATATAGGCCGTTTACCATTTTACAAAGAACAAAATTAATAAAAGGAGCATTAGTCATAAAATGCATAAAATAAGTTAAAATTGCAAAACAGAACTTGACAACAGATTAAAATCAGCACTAAAGCGAATAAGCCAGTTTGAACAGATGTGTTTTGAGCTGTGACTTAAATGCGGGAAGAGAGTCTATATTTCTTATAGACAGTTCCAGAGCCGAGGTGCAGAGCGACTGAAGGCTCTGTGTCCCATAGTGATGAGATGAGCGGAAGGAACAGTAAGATGAACAGCAGATGAGGATCTGAGAGGGCGGGAGACAGTGGTGATATGGAGCAGGTCACACAAATAGGAAGGAGCAGATTTATGGATACACTTATACGTGAGAAGTAAGATTTTAAAGTTTATCCTGGCTTTTATAGGCAACCAGCGAAGCTGCTGAAGAACTGTTGTAATATGACGGAGTGCAAGTTATGACCCGAGCTGCAGAGTTTTGAAGAAGTTGGAGTTTATGAAGGAACCTTTTAGGCAGACCAAATAGGAGGGAACTGTAGTAATCAATACGGGACGTAATAAGACTATGGACAAGGATGGCAGCAGCATGGGGAGGAAGGAAGTGATGGAGTCGGTTAATATTACGTAAGTGGAAGTATGCAGACCATGTTATGTAATTAATGTGAGACTGGAATGAAAGAGTACTGTCAAGTAAGACACCCAAACTTTTAACCTGAGTGGAGGGGAAAACAGGATAGAGACTTGAAGAGTGTGATTTAAATTGGATAAACTGAGTGCCGTCTGAGAGATATGAGGTGCACCAGGCAACGGGGGTGTGACTAATGCCAATGGATGCTAACCGGTTCAGGAGAATATTGTGAGAAATGGTATCAAATGCTGCACTAAGATCAAGAAGGATGAGGATGGATAGGAGACCAGAATCAGCTGCCATCAGAAGGTCACTGGTAATCCTTAACAAAACAGTTTCTGTGCTATGATTGGGGCAGAAACCAGATTGAAATTGTTCATAGAGGTTATGGTTACTTTTTCAAGAATTTTTGAAAAAACCCCTCATCCCACTCCTTTCCAGACTCAAGGCAAAATTTCCGCATCATAGATTTCAATGTCTGATGAAACTGCTCGAGCGCACCTTGCGACTCCCGATGATAGGCACTAGATTTCTGATGTTTAATGCCAAGTGATTGCAAAACTTGAGCAAAAATCTTAAACATGAAATTAGAGCCTTGGTCGGTTTGGACAGCTTTTGGTAACCCGAAAGTAGAAAAGAAGTTCACCAACGCCTTAACAACTGGTTTAACCTTAAGGGTGCGCAATGGAATTGCCTCGGGAAAACGTGTAGCAACGCACATCAAAGTCAAGAGGTACTGGTGGTCCGATTTTGTTTTATGAAGTGGACCAACGCATTCGATGAGTATGTGTTCAAAAGGTTCCCCTAAAACTGGAATAGGGTGTAATGGAGCGGGTGGAATGACTTGGTTAGGCTTACCGCTAATCAGACAGGTGTGACAAGAACGACAATACTTAGCAATGTCATTCTTCAATCCTGGCCAAAAGAAATGACGCAGAATGCGGTGGTAGGTTTTTCTAATACCTAAATGTCCAGAAAAGCTGTCATGGGCAAGACTAAGAACTTTGTGTCGGTACTGTTGAGGCACCAGAACCTGCTGAAACACATTCCAGCCCAGATCACCAGTTGTAGGCGGATACCAGGTACGCATCAACACATCATCCTCAACACTATAAACACGAGGATACTGGTCACTAGAGTTGGCAGCTGAAAAACAACCCACAAGAGTCGGGTCACTGTGTTGTGCCAAAACAAAATCCTTTTTGTTAACTCCCAAAGGCAGTTGAGATGTCACTGATGAGCTAATAGACAGCATCGCCTCAGAGTCGCCCGTCAGCGGGTCACAGGTTTTAGATCCAGACTCCGGCTCACCACCAGCGCAGAGAAAAGAATCAGACAAATCAACATCACCATACTTGCACTTGTGCGCGCGAGTTACAGCGCAGGCAGGAAAAACAGAGGGGGAGCGCTCAGCGGCAGGGTCAGATAACAAAGTATCAGGCACAGGATTCTCAACCACTCTCGGGATAGAAAACACTTTCCCGTTCGCTAAGTCATTCCCCAGAATCATCGCAACTCCGGGCACTGGCAACTGATCGCGCCCGAAACGAGCGTCGATTGAAGAAACACATTGTGTAGTGGTACTAATTTGCATTGCAACAACAGACTCCAGACATCCTTTGGCCATTTTAAAGTGGTTGCGATGCGCTCAAAAGCAGTGGAATCAACTCATCAACAAATAGGAATCGACCTCTCCCTCCCTAAAAGGAGGTACCAAAACAACCTGCTTGCTAGCGTTAAACTGGTCTACGATGGAAGTGTCGGGGAGTGTACACAGCAAATTCAAAAGTGTTAAATGTTTTGGTGTTAATAGTCTTTTTGCAAAAGTAGAGTTAATTTTACTCTAAGCAGAGTCACATTCTTTTAATGTAACTCTGAGGTGTAAAATGATAGTAGTTAAAATCGAGTGTTAAA